AGGAGGGGTCCCGCGAGTGGGAGCAGGACATCTGACGCGGCAGCGCTGTCTCCACCAGCAGGGACAGGTGGGTGTTAAACAACAGGTCTGCCTGGGCCCTGTCACCGGACCCCAGACCACAACCTCCACAATGACCGCAAAGAAGCTAAGTGCCACCAGGCCCAACAACCGCAGTTACGAGCACAATTACTCCCCAACACTCCGTCTCCTTCCCCGAAGGCTAGGAGATGTGACAACCTTTTGGGAACCAGCCTCGAGCCAACAATGTGTCCTACATCGAGATGTCCCAGTTACTCCTCAGCAGTTGGTTATGCTATTTGTGGCACAATGGGTCAGATGGTCACAAAGGAACAACTGAGAGCTAAAAAGTAGCCCTGTGTTTCCCTCTGCCAGGAGAGAGCAGCAACACTTTCATTTCGTTTCATTTTTCTGGTAGCTTTGGAGCCCAAAAAAGCTCTAGTAATGGAATCTTTACGTTCTGACAATGAGAAGCAAATAATCACAATTCACCAATCCCTGGAAAATGTCACAAACAAATAGAAAAAAGGGGGAAAAAAAGCCCTTTTATTGTATATTAGTGAACCATCAACCTATATTTCCTGTTTTCGACTTAATAAAAAAAAATTTCAAAAGCTGTAAAGCTCAAGTCACATGTGGCCTCGACTAGATAAAGTATTCCAGGATTCCTAGCTCTCCTACTTTTCTGTTAATACCAGACAAAGTCACATGCCTCTTTCCTGCTGAAGCATAGCTCTCTGTCATTAGGTCTCTAAAAATAATTTACTGCTCTAAAAGTAAGAATAGGAATGTGGTTAGCAATTTACCGATGGGTGCAGATGGAAAGATAAACCAAGAGGATGTAAATCCAGAACAGCAAGTCAAGTAACATACCACAGGGCTGTGCGGGCCACGGGATATGCCTACAGCTCTCTGCCCTGGGTCCTGCTATTAAAATCTTAAAATTCCACACAGTTCTAGGAAAATACTGTTAATGATAAGATGTCCATGTCTAAGGTGGTAATAAAACTGAAGTGCAAACTAGGAAAAAATTTAGCATGGTTTTAAACAACCTGAATCCTAAAAAAATAAATAAAAGATTTTCTAACTCAAAAATGATTTTTTTCCCTGTCAAATTAATCTGAAACCAGGCCCTCGTTTCGGAGTTAATTCACTAACACTGCAGTTGTCATTAAAATTACAAATCCCAGTTTTATTCATCCCAGAAAATGGGCTCCATTTGTGCAGAGGGAGGTTTCTAAATCTCCAGTGAACTATTGAAGTATAGAAAGTGTTTTATTTTAACACATAAAAAACAGCCAAAGCCCTATATGAAAAGAACCGTAAGCAAGTGTTACTACTGGCTCGTCTTTTTAGGCAAGCAGTATTTAGATTTATTACTAGTGAGGTTCACAGGTTAAATCTAAGAAAATGTGGGACACTTTGAAGGAGAGGCTGGCTCAGTCCAGGGGTCACATGACGGCTACTAATTGGGAAATGTTAAAAAGGCAAAGAGGGGAGGGCAGGGTATCTGCCTTCTCTTCTTTACTGCATTTGATTTTCACTAAAAATTTAAAAAGAAAGGCTAAGATTTGTATAACTCTCAAAAGAGGCCTAAAGTAAATAAATCACCCCCAGGCTGACTGAGCACAGCTGACACCCCATCAAGGCTTCCTCGCAAAAACAGGAGACAGAATTTAAAAATGAAGCTGCATTTCTACAGTGAATTTTAATGAGGACAGCCTAATTGGCAAACCAGTGAGATCATTTTCTGCCGTTACATTTACAAAACTAAAACACTCTGTATTATAATGTATGCCATTTTATTTCATGATTTGTTTAAATGTTTATTTATACTGAAAGGATGCATCTTTTCTTAAACTCTCTTGTGTTGCCTTTTTTAAAAGAGTATTTTCAGAACTGACAACCTGCTAGGCGGTAAGGCAAACAGTGATAGTTAAATATTGCAAATTATAGATCAGTTAATTATTAAAAGGTTATATTTCTTTAAAATCTTTTAAATGCTGTGGTTAGAAAAGTTGTGGCATTAATTTTTTTACAAAGTACACATTTTCTATGTCTTCATAAATATTGTATTAAACTCCTGAAAATGTGTTCTTCCTTATGTATACAATTTTTATTTAATTCAGAATGATGAAAAAATTTCATGATTGATGCTAATATTTTATTGACATGAGATAGGAAAGTAATAGCCCACAGCTGGATTTAAAGTTGGGTTTATGACATCATTTTGATTGTGCACATTAGCTGCAATTACCTGCACCACTCGTTCTGAGCCACTAGATGGTGTAACAAATAAATTAAAACAGCAAAATTTCATTCCATCACCATGAAGTCTAAATATAACTCTGAGAAAGACTAAACAAATTTCTAGGCATATAACAATGCTAGTGATTTCTATACTAATTGTACTTCTTTAAAAAATCTATCAGTATATAAGATCAGCTCTACTTTGATCTAGAAACAAGTCCTTTTGAGCATTTTTTCACTCTCTTCTACTAGGGGCCTTAGATTCTGAATTTATAGTAATGCCAAGTATTCAAACTGCTGTCATCATTCATATATTAAGTGAACTTATGATATTAACTTAGGGTCTATGTTTGCCAAGTTTTTGATAAAAACTGGAAGGCCAAGCCAAATAAAAATTTAGTCTCCAGAGATCCCAATCTGAACTTACCCAAAGCGAAGTGGAGAAATCATGTACTAATATATACTAATCCCCAAAGCAACCTGATAACCAGCAGCCAAAACACCTATCAATGGCCCAGAACTAGTCCAGATTCCATCGAGGGAGAGCCGTGGCCTTTATTTTCATGCTCACTAAGATTTGCCTGGTTGATTCCACTAGGCCCACAGCTGGGTAAATAGAGCCAATGTGATAATGCATTTAACAGCATTTAGAAATCTCAGACGGCACTATGTTCCTCCTACATGCTGGGCCGCCACTAACCTTGGCTCTATGGTCAGGCTTCACATGTAAAATTACAATCCCCACAAAACAGTTTTGGGAGTCCTGGAATTACCTCCCCTGGAATCCTAGAAGTATAATACGCATATGTGATTATATCTTTAATTTCATATTAACAGAAAATGATTTCTAAGGTGATGGCAGGAATGAGACATGCCTGCAGGCTGCTTGCTGTGCAGCCTCTCCTGGAGGCAGGAGCTCCGAGGCTTTCAGCAACAGACAACCTGGTTCAGAAGACTTTCAGAACAGACCCACTGGGCTTCATGCATTTCACATTTTACCAGGGAATGTAACGGCTATCTGCCATTTATCCCTATAATCTGAAATTCCAAGTGGAAGCTAATCAACCTTTTACTTTTATACACAATTGCAGCCTCGTTGGTGAAAGAAACTGTGAGCTAAGTAACGTCGAGGAATGATGCCAAGGAAGTTTGTCAAGAACTGAAACTAATTCGTTTGGTTCCTATATTAAGTAATTATCTAAAAAAACTTGTCTTAACTCAGGCAATTAAATGCTCAATAATGGGCTTAATGCAAGAGTTGTGATATGGCTACTGATAGCTTCCAAGGACCGAAAGTGTCTTCTAAAAAGGAAAAATTAAAATTAAAATCCCACACTAATGAGCAGAGGATTGAGAAAGAAATGACAGGTCTTAGCTTTGGGGACTTCAACTAGCAATTACCACAGTTGGCTATATGTACTTACTCACTAAATATTTTCCCCAGTAACCTACAAGTGGCCCTATCTTACTTCTCTTGCATTCCTGGTGCTTAGAATGGGACCTGGCACAGTATAGGGACTTTATGACGGTTTCAAATTAAACACAAGGGAGGTAGAGAGGGAGGGGAGAGGAAAAGGCAGAGGGGTGGGGGAAGGGAGGGAGAACAGTATAAGACAAAAACAGCAGGAAGCCCTGGTTTGGAAGTCCCCACGCCTTAAGCACAGGCTCTGGCACTTTCTTGATCCAAGTTTCCTTACCTGTAAAAACCATGCACAGACAGACAGATGAGTGCTAAGGTCCCTCAGTCGCTCAGTCACTGAGTCACTCTATGACTCTCTGCTATGATTTGATGCATCAGCGAACCAGTGTAAAAATTCAGAAAGTGATCTTACTTCCAAATTCTCTTCTGTAGCTAACAATCACATTATCTTTCTGAAAAGTCCAAATTATTTCTCTAATCAAGAAACCACATTAAATGCCTAAGCTTATGAATTATATAGCATTTCCATACTTACAGTTTCCATATATCATTTGTTTCTAAAAGAGCCTCCTATAGGAGACTGAAGGAGATATTTTTTAACATCCATATTACAGTAGCGGAAGTTAAGATGTGAAGATTAAGGGAGCTCACACACGTCATCAGAAGTGTAACCACACAAAGAAACTTTTGGATTGAAGGACAGAAAGATTTTGAATAATCCAGTATCTTAAAGAGGCAGAGACCTGATTTTGTATATATAAAGATGAGTTCATAGCAATATACTTGGCAATTATGTTTACAAATACAATTATGCTGAACTTTAAAAAATTACCTAAACCTGTCTGAATAGAAAGCGTTGCTCTTAAATTGTCGGAACACACGATGTATTTACACAAAGATGAAAAGCGTGTTCTATAAACACGGCGTTTCCAGTAGTGAGTGGCAGACGGAATCAGAGTAAGCACACAGAAGAACAGAAAGGAAGGGGAAGGAAACCTAACAAATAAGCTAATACCTTACAATGCTAACTTTCACATAAGTACATTGTTTCTGGAGAAGGCGGGTGTGGAGGGGAGCCAAAGGCTAAAGTGATAGGTAAACACACTGCTAAGTTGAATCCTGTTATCTGATTGTGTTTAAATTTTGATTATATTGCACTTGACAAAATAATTAATTACTGTGAACTCCCGATTGTTAACAAGGACCTAGAAGAATTCCAATTGGCATTTTTCCTCAGTGTTGTAATCCAAATGCATAAAAATCTAGTTTTGTATTCACCCTTGACAGTTGTCTTTTTCGGGTGTCTTCTTACCTTGCTAAGAATGTAAATCACATCACCACGTTTAAATGACAGCTCATCGGAGAGAGCACCTGTGCAGTCCCACAAACCCTGGTAAAAGTTAGCGTAATCAGTGCTTTTATCTCCTAGAAAGAAGAGAGAAAACGCAAGTTAGAGCTTTCCTGCAATGGGCCCTCATTTAAAAATGAAGCAAGAGAAATTGAGGGGCCAGCCCAAACCACCAAAACAGTCTAAAAAAATTCACTCCCGGCTCAAAGAAAAAATTTTATTACATCTGCGCAAGCATCCCCCTTCTTACTATCCTCTAACTACGGACCGTTTTCAAAAAGGTCTCATTTTGAATATCTTTTCTCTTTCTCTCCCTTTGTTGTTCACCTAAAACCTGCAATTGCAATGTTTCCTCCTCACACCAGCCCCTGAGAGTTACTTCCCACTTATTTTATATCCGAACCTAAGCCCACTGGCAACATGCTTTGAAGATGAGCCCCACGCTGCACAACCAGCAATACCAAGAGGTGTGACAAGCACACTGCGCAACGGCCGCCTCGCAGAATCGGGACGCTTCGTAAAAGCGACCACGACAAAGGAGCGGAGGCACAAATCTAACCCAAACTAGGGAACGTTTCTGTTTTGCTTTTAATTCTAAAACCTAAAGCTAGTTCAAGAAAGAGGATCATGTGGAAATAATACAAAGGGTAATTCCAGCTCTTATCTTCGGGGACTTTCGTACCCAAAGCCTCTCAAAGTTATTTGACAAACATTTCAACAACTTAGAAATTGGCAGTGCTGAAGCTGCATCTTGCAGGATCTGTCGGCCCCAGTTCAGGACATTAGGCTCTGAGTAAACATGCGACATACACTGGAGTTATCAGCTCATCCTTCTAACAGCATAAGCACAATGGATGTGACGTGTTCCAACTGCCATACAGACCATTAACTGATTGATTATTTAGTGCTCTCCGCGCTGTAATACCACAATAACCCGGGAAATAAATGCTTTGTCACTTACACAATGTGGCTCTCCTGAAGCGCTGCACAGAGTTAAAGACACTGGGTGCTTTTGTTACACTGAGAACTGTTTCCTGCTTTTAATTTCATGATAATTGAGTTTTGATGAGTTAATGCAAAAAGAATGCAAGTGGTATCAATATGATGTCCGCGCGTTCGCTAACCAGGCAGAACATACGCACGCTGACAGCCTCCGTCGCTGAAGGTCATCTTTGAATTCTGAGGGGATCACTGTGGAGGCTCACGCTGGATCGGGGTTGTCATCTTGGTTTTGTTATATGGCTCTCCAACAGCAGGCTCGCTGGCACTTCCAACACAGCCAGTCACATTGGCATGGCATTAGGGCGCTCGCCTTATTACACGTGGTTTGTGATATGTACAAAGTGCCATGTTCACTAGAAATTTTTAAATTTCCCTTTAATACTGGAAATAGTTTTTAAAGCCAAAAAGAAAATCTGAGTAATGGGGAGTCCGAATATTAGGAAGTAAGATGCTAGTTTTCCATTATATTTTTAAGAAAATAAAAAAGGACCGGAACACACAACCTAGCAAAATCTTCCTATTAATTTTTTTCCCCTCTTGTTTTCTAAAGATTAAAACAGAGGGAGGGAGGGAAGTGGGAGGCAGGAGGAGAGAGGGAAGGAGGAGGCGGGCAGAGAGGGCGAACACCTTCTTGACCTCTCCACTCTAGCCTCTGAACACCCATCACCGATACCAGCAGGGGTGTGCAAAAGCCTGGGAATCCCACCAAGAACTAACAATGCTTGCGGCCACCCTTCATTAGGGTTGTTTCCCCCACAAAGCAGATCTTAAGTAAATTCTATAAATGGACACTAGAGGGCACTCTGGCTGGACAGATTACTCCAAACATTGTCAAATTTTTTTTTTTTTTTTTAGAAAAAAATTACTTAATAATAAAGTGACTGATTTCCTTTAAAAACCACTTATTTAGACAAATAGAGATTTAGAAGTTGAAACATCCTAGTCAGATTAAATCAACTGCTAAATGGGTCAAATGTTGCGCCCCATGCAGTCCGTCAGTGTCAGTTTAAAAGTCCAGGAATTAGAGCAGAGAGAGGATGACATCATTTCGCATGCACAGCCCTCCCCCACCGCCACTGGCCAGGAGGTGAGAGGAGCGAAACAGTTGAGGCTCCTGTGTGGTGTTCCCCACGCTGCTCAGCCTTAGGCTTCATCCAAAAAGGTTGAAGAGATGGAAGTTGGGCTGAAACCTAGAGGAGAAGTTGTGGCTTGGCTAGGGCCTTCCAGTAGCTTCCCCGGCTGTCCAGCCCCCTGCCTGCTCTCCCCTTTTTCAGATTCTCTCACAACAGTTTCCCGTTCAATAGATTTTCAAGAGGTGGGGGGGAAGGAAGGAAAAGAAAAGAAAAGTATATGATGATTTCTAATGCATAATAATCCTCGTCACTTTGGGGTCTCTCCTCCCCCCGATGCGCTTGGTGAAACTCCCATTAACACTAATGGGAGCTACAGGAGCGCATGAGGGGCACGGAGACCCCCACCGTGTGCAAGATGCATCTCTCCCTAGACGTGCATCATGAGCATTTCATTAAGTCTCGCTGCCAGAGAGGCAACAGAGCAGCGGCGCGGCAGGGCTGGGGAGAAGATGCATTTTCCACCGCGCCTTCTATAACCTTGCTGATGACGTTGCCCAAAGACCAGCCTCGTTTCTGCGCTGAGGGTACCACGCTGTCCGGGACGCGGCTGCGCGCACCCACCGTCTACCGTCCCGCCTGCTCCGGCTGTGCCCACTAGAGGCAGAGCGCAGCCGGGGGGCCGGGCCGGGGGTGCTGCCTGGCCTTGGCGGCCTCGGGAAAGTGATGGTCAGGTTCTTGGTATAAATGCTAGACATAAGATTAGGAATTGCCCTGTTCCTTAGAGAGCAGCGAGCTCCTCTGGTTTACTTTTAAAAATTTTAATTGTGGCTAAACAGACACCAAAAAAATTGTGCCTCGGTGCAGCCTCAGAAACACTGGGGTTCACGGAAGCTGACACTGCTCACCTACACACTACAAAAGTAACCCATGGGAAGCCTGTTTCTTAAAAAACAACAAAACATGGGCTGAAGCCCGATGTCGTAAAGCACAGGTAGGCATCCGTTCTGAATACAGACGGAGCCCGCCTAGTTGCCTTCACCACACGGAGCGCTTTTTCTGTTCTATCTGCACCAAGATCTATGTTTTCAAGATTCCAAATAAAAAAGCACCTCATTGTTTATGTTTCTTCTCCTGAGAGGCATGAATGGTTAAAAAAAAATTATTTTAAGGGGAAAAAGTTTTTAAATTAGCCAGCCCGGGACAGATTTAAACAATATACTTGCTCCTGCTTTTCCAAAAGTACAAAAACAGATCACTAGGCAATAATAACAAAATTATGATGAAAGTATAAACTAAACATTGGAGATGCTTTTGCAAAAATGAAAAGGTTTTAAAAATGATGACAATAGATGAAATATATAGTAATAAAACAATGGAGAATCTCTCCTTGAGTAGTGTTGTAGGTTTAAACACTATTTTAGAAAGGTGAGCATATTGTACAATGTTAAAAAAAAAATCAAATGGAATCTTTACGATACATATAAGACACATAAGCTTGAACGTGAAGGAACGTGTAAGGAATCCAAGATTAATTTTGTTTTTGCCTCCGTATTTTACATTTGTCTGATTTTTTTATTTTTTTTTTAGTAAAATCAGTCAATGTGAAAAATATATAACATTCTTGAGTAAGGTTAGAAGTTCACATCATGTGATGCTCAGCAAGATAGTAATACCCTTGTCAACTCGCTGCCCCGCACAGCAAACAAACTTCTAGTGTTACAGCTCAGACAGCCTCGGCAGAGCAAAGGTCACCGCTACGCAAAGGCATTAAAACTGTTGCTTGAAAAGAATTTCATGTCACTAAAGATAAGAATTATTGCAGTGCTAATTTATAGCTATTGCATGAGAAGCTAGGTCTATTTAATGCATTCCTCTGAGGACAACCTGATTTTTTTTCCCCTTCCCTCAGAGGCAAAAATTTGGGAGATAGTTACTATAAAAGGGTTTTTGAAAAATACAAGTGCTTTAAGCCAAAATACTTATATTTGTGGAAGGAATATCTATGTGTGCCTTCCTTCTGCACCTGCGTTGAGATTTTTAAAAAGGAGGCAACATGCTTTTGGCAGGAGCTTTACGACACCTAATAAAACATATATACTTAAATTACTATTGAACGCTGGCCTCGAGGTTTCACTGCGCTGCGGTGTTTTATGGCTGCATCTTACAGGGCCTGAGTGCTAACAGCTAATGACTCCGTCCTCGCTTCCTTTCTGAAAAAAGCAAACCCCAACCCTCTGCAGCAACCTGCTCCTGCTTTCCTGCCCGGGGCCGGAAACCAGGCCTCTGCTTCCTTTCCACATGTCACAGGAGGAAGGACTCTGGAAAGCGACTTCCTGAACACACACTTCTTCTCCACCCTGCGTCTGACAGCTTGAAAGAGTGATGTATGGACATATCAGAGAGGGGAAGGTGACCCCAACTACAGCTCTGTGCAGGACATGGGATGATGGGGCAGACCTTGCCCCGGCTGACCTGTGGCTATGGAGACGGTAAAGTCCTGATAAGGCGACAGTCCTCCTCTTCTTTCCATGTAAAATAAGTGCTGGTTTATCAAAACCCACCTCGTGCTCGCACTACAGATACGGTTTATCTCCTGCTACTGGGAAATAACAAACAGCAGGGAAAGCTGCCCATATCATGTGATTTTGTACACAGCACGTGCACTTATTTTTCCCCTCTCAGTCATAATTAGTACTTGGGGCCATGTGGCAAGTGGAAATGGATAAGGGGACCGTCCTTCCTGGACTTCCAGGCCACCAGTGTCCTTTTCTTGTTTTTAAGCTGCTGTCACCGGACCCTGGCATTTCCTAGCCAATTCATTTGCTTTCGGTGCTAATCATATGCAATGAAGATATGCATGGCCAACATTTAAACAGGCTGCAGATCAATTAGCGGTCTTAAGTTTATCTGATTTTTATCAAAGAAGACAGAGCTGTGGGTCGATTGTCAGAGCCTGTGTCAAGTTGACCTTTTCAGAGATGTCTACATTGCCAGTCCCCTGGGCAACTTGTTGTCCCCTGTTAGTCTCTGAGTGGCAGAAGTCTGTTCTGCTCAGGCACAAAGTATACACAGATGTCTATATTACATCCTCATAGGTTTGACAGCGACTGCATGTTGTATCTATAAGCTGTCCTTTAGCAGTGACACTTCCTCAATGATGATAAGCTAATTTATGCAACCAAATCTCCTTTGTGCAGAAATGAAAGCTAATTGAGTCATTACAAAGTAATTCAGGAAGGAATACCTTGTATAAATGGGCTTACTTTATAAACCCTTCTCGAGCGGTTTCCACGCATCCTAAATGGGGCTAAGCAGCTTACCAGCCCAAAGCTACACGGGCCCAAGGAGCCGGCTTTGGGGGGCCGTGCAAACGTCTCCAGGGCCGTGAGAAAGGGAACAAAACCGACAGAAGCTGCCCGGGGAGCCGTGCAGTCCGTTACCTGTGGCGTGATGGCCGCTGTCCTGGGTCGCCTTCCTCGGCTCCTCCGCTTTCCCGGGGCCACTGTCCTCTTCTTCTTCTGTAAACAAACAGCACAAATGTCCCCTCAGGAGCTTCCTCGGATAACAATACAGGACGCACCCCAGCTTAAGAGCAAAGCTACAGGTTTATGAGGGTTCCTTTTTAAAGAAGGGAGCCGCTCAATGTGCACATTCCTTTTGAAGCTGAACAAATAAACCTCAGCTGCTTCCAAAGAGCAACCTCACCAGTCGGCTTAAAAGAATTTAAGATACATACTAGTGCTTCCCCTATGCTGTTTAAAATACTTAGAGGAACTCATCTGGGGCAATCTTAGATCCAGAAAAGCCCTGACATCCAGTAAAATGACGCCCAACACTACACAGATCGGCCACGTTAAGCTGTGGCAGGAGCACCGCAGGTAAAATCACGGTCCCTACAACATCAGCGTAGCCAAGAGGAAACATGTGATGTCAAACGTGTGACCGTATGTATGCCATTTATTGAGTTTCAGAGACTCCACAGCTTTTCTCACTTGATCTTCACAGGAGAACACTATAGCAGACGTAAAGATTTCATAGACAAGTAACTTTTAAATCTTCATTTTACAGGTGAGAAAATTGAAACTCGACCAGGCAAAGCAATTTCTCCTTTTTGTCATTCCAACTTGGGTTTGCGATGATGAAGTCCATGTTCTTCATCCGGCATATATGAGGTGCCGTCCCTATTTCCACCCTCTCCCGTCACACTCCGAGTTAGAGGAAGGGATACGGTAAGAGTAAATGAGAACGGCTTTTAGCAGAGTCCACAGACTACTTAATTCTCTTACATTAAAGAAACATTACATTACCACTTTCCTCACCTTAGGGTTTACATACAATTTAGATATACTGAAGGCAGGGCACCTGAATGAACTCCAAAGAAAGAAATACAATTTTACCCCAAATCCAAAACTTTAAAGAAAAATATGCAAACTACATAACTATAAAGGCTATTAAATAACTCAACCAATAACTCTCCACTGAGTATCAACTACGTGCGAGAGAGAGATCCTACCCGGGAGTCGAGGACAGTAGGGAGCTTCTGCCCTCAGGAAGCTGACACCCTAGAGGGACAGGAGACAGGATCTAAGGGAAAACCTGACATGTGGGGCCCAGGCACGCAGTGCAGAGAAGAACCACCCATCGGGGGAGCGGCATGAAGGCTGAGAGATGGAGAGAATCTGAAAAAGGAGAGACGGGAAGCAGAACTTTCCAGACAGAGGGAGAGGCGTAAACGAAAGAACAAGGCACCACCATATCCTTTAGCTACAGAACGTGGACCTCAGGGGGAAAGAGCAGGGTGGGGCGATGCTGCTGGCTCGGGCCAGTTGTTGAAGGGCCATGAACACCCTGCTGTGGGCCTCAGGCTGTGCTTCGTGGGCAACGCGAGCCCCAGAAGATTCGGAGCAGAGAAAGGGCAGGGCTGAGACTATGCCTGAGGAATGGTCAGCGGGCCCCTCGGGGTCGGATTCTGGAGCAGGGCGTGGGGACAGAGACACTGGGAGTCTGGCTGAGGGGCAGGAAGCCCTGACTGAGGGGCGGAGGGAATGCGAGGGAGATGGTCGTCAGGCAGAGGGACAGGGGCCGATAAACTCTGGGCCCGCGGCATGCGGAGCGCTAAGCGGGGAGAGAAGCGCGACCAAGGGTGGGGGGCTTTGGGCTCAGTTAACTGAGGAATGGGAACATCACCGCCTAAAAGGGACCAGCCGAGATCAGCTATTTTGCTGAGGAAACACGAGGAGTTGTGTTTCTGACGTGAGAGACTGAATGTACCAGTGGGCAACCCGGAGGAAGTGTCCAGGGGCAACTGGAGAGGCGGGCAGGGAGGTCAGGACGGCGCATGTGGACTCAGAAGACGCAGGCAAATGTTCAAGCGGTGATTAATAAAAATCGGCATTTAAGTCAAGCTTGGGAGTTACTGGACTTGTAAGACAAATACAACTGTTCCGAATTTTTGTAATTCAATTCAAGCGAAATAATGAAAGCTCCAATATAAGGAACAGATAGAAATATTTGGTACTTTATACATACCGAGTTGAACCCAACACAGGCAATTTAATACAGTTCAAATAGTAATTAATACATAAAAGACCTAATAAAATGTCTGATCCTAAATCCTGTCTTTTTCTCTTCAACAATAGTTATCTCACCTGTGCCAGACCTCAAGGACTAGTTAGTACACACGGGCTAAGAGGGTGTTCCCATCAGATTTTAAGGGTATTAGGGACATTTACAGTCATTTAGTCCAACCTACTCACTTACAGACAGTTAATATTTTTAAAGCTGAAAGAGAAAACTTACTTTTCACACTTGCTCTTTCCCCAGCACTCCCTCTCTTACAATTTGGTCACAAATGCAAAAGTAAGAAGTAAATTCAAAATAATTAAGGGCACTTATCCTCAATCAAAAGCCATAACCCGATCAATATAGGAAGCAGTATTCTTGGCTCTTAAGAAGAGACTGTGGGTTTTAGAGTCAGCACCCAAAGTCAGTGTCAAGACACGAAAAAACTAATTATAATAATTAAAGGAAAAAACTTAACAAGTTAGTTTATTACTAGGAATTTATCCTTATTTTATTAACATTTAAGTGCCTATAATGTGCACGATGTATTCTTAAATTACCAGAATAATATTGAAAATATTTACTTAAGTACCAATATTTACTGCAAGTATTCAAATTGAAATCCATGTGAGATGCGTAATACGGTATTTTAGAGGATGAGACGCTCATTAAAAACATGGCGTTTCTCCATTTCAAACCTAGGGCTGATATTTTAGGTCAAAGCCTTCTGCATTTCATACATCAATTTTTTTTTCTTAACAATGTTCAAACAACTCATATAATCTTGAGCTAACAATACAAACAGCTTCCATATAAAAGACAAAAAAATCAAGTCTGGGGTGTGTGTGTGTTAATCTTAGGGATAAAAATCTCAGACTGAATCTTGAAGAGAATACAGTACAAGGCAGATGTTTAATAAATACCGAGTGAACAAATGGATTAAAAAATCATGAAAATAAATTCTACTATAGTCATTTATTAACAGAGCAAACCTCTCCACACCACTCAAAAATATATATAAGGACAAGTGACTAAAACTCTGGGTAATAATCACCTTCACAATATATTAGAAATTGAAACACATGTTGTTTTATTTAGGTTTATTATTAAACATATTTTATTTTGGTGTTGAGGCACGATGTCATTATACAATACTAATTAATACCTCAAAGAGTCAACGTTTGTGGGTTAATATATTCCATTCAACATTTTAATAACAGTAAACAAAAACAGCTCAGCTATGCAGTAAAATCCATCAACCACACAGATGGTTATAAGGTTTTCATTATGTGGTTTCCATAGCAATCATATTGCAAATCTGGAAGCTTCTTGCAAATAAGCAGCTTGTATTTACATGCCTCTCAGCTGCAGCACAAACTCTTCAACATGTGAAGTTATTATTCCAATCACACATTGTTAGAGGGATCATCGGGAGGTTTTTGATCAGACAAGATAAAAACAATAAAGTGAAGTTGCAGAATATAATTCAAATATAGTTCTACATTACTAGACTAATCAACGAGCATCAGAAATGTTCTTGTGGTCACGGAAAGGTTTCAACATTAAACACTGTCAAAAATACGACGCTTTCAGGAGCAATCAGACCCAACAGAATCCGAAAGCTTGAACTCCACTCTTACTCGTCTATTTAGTACCTACTGAGCCCTCCTTCCGAGCTGAGTGAGGAGAGGGAGAATGGCAGAGAACCGAGTCTTCCCAAACCGTTTTAGGATGATGACTATTTGAGGAAATGCTTACTGTGGGAAAAGTCAAGACCTTTTTTTGTCTCCTGCTAGATTAATCAATTTAATTTACAAATTGATCCAGTTCCATAACAGATGGATTATTACCCTAATAAGAATCACAAATCTGTCTAGCTATGCAGGTTTTTAAAAATGGCTATTTCTGGTTTAATACTGTTCTTTTTTTTTTTAAGGATAAATAACCAAAAAAAACAACCCCTAAGCGAACACCCCTTCTCCTGTTCTCCTGGCTCTCCCTCCCCACCTCTAACGTTCCGCAGGCTCCGATGCCCCGAAAGCCAGCACACGGTATTTGATGCTTTGTAAATGTCTCTATGCAAACTCATAATTGAAAACAGATTTATTTCTAGGCCAGACAGCTTTTCTTTCTCACTTAGTTTCAACATGGAAAACATGGTTAAATGTAGATGGCAAAGTTGAGTCTTTCTACAAACAAAGATCTGAAAGAAGTTCACCTGCATTTCAGAGCAACAGGCTACTCTGCCTAATTGTTTCATCAGGGGTCCGGGTCCAGGGTGTGGCAAGCAAGGCGTCCCTGAGCGGGAGAAGATGGAGCAGGCGGGTGGGGGCCCAAAGACACCCCTGGCCAGTCCCAGCAGCAGGACGTGAAGGAGGGAGAAAGGCTGGAAGGGCTGACGCAAATGGAAGCCCCCCTCCTCTGTCCAGGCCGGGGCAGGCCTGAAGCTGGGGGAAGGGTTAGAAGAGCAGAGGAGAGTCAAAGGGGTAGGACAGGGGAATTCAAAGTTAAGGCGATGAGGAAAAGTGAGTTCCTGAGGGCCTAGAAGCCCTGTCCTACTGGTCATTTCAAATATGACATGTCTAAGGACTTTTTCTATCTATTTAATAGGCTGGCACTTAAATTACAGCAATAATAAAAATACTTTTATAGACAAAAGCATGTGCCTTTTAGTATTCTCAAAACTGCAAGAGGAACAGAAAGACAGATGACCGAAATGCTTATTTAGAGCCATGCCTGCTCTCCTGGGAACTGGGCAAACTGGGGCCTATTGAAGTCCTAGTTACTCGTGTAACCTTGACACCGTTCCCGATTCCCAGTGTCACCCTGTAGTGGGAAGAGTGTCTATCCCACAGCACTCTGAACAGAATTTGGGGAGGACAATGGGATAATCAGATCTCTCAGGAGGAAAGAATGCACGATGAGCAGGCAATGCCAAGTAAAGTACCTGAGGAGC